AATAATAATAATAATAATCATCATCATCATCATCATCATCATCATCATTTAGGCCAGGTGCAGTGACTCACACCTGTAATCCCAGCACTTTGGAAGCCTGAGGCAGGCAGATCACGAGGTCAGGAGTTCGGGACCAGCCTAGCCAACATGGTGAAACCCCATCTCTACTAAAAATACAAAAATTAGCTGGGCGTGATGGCGCATGCCTGTAATCCCAGCTACTCAGGAGGCTGAGGCAGGAGAATTGCTTGAACCTGGGAGGCAGAGGTTGCAGTGAGCCAAGAACGCACTACTACCCTCCAGCCTGGGCAACAGAGCAAGACTCTGTCTCGAAAAAAAATAATAATAATAATTTAAGATATGTTTATTCCAAAAGATCTGAGATCTCTAGCATTCATTTCCCAGCCTCCTTGATGATCTGTATAACCTTTATGACCACACTGGCATTCATAAAATAATACCTTGCTTTCTGTGCCAGTAATGCTCACGCAAACATGGTGAACGTTCCTAAAACCTGTCGGACTGTAAGAAGTGTGGCATGTGGCAAGCACCAACCCCACAAAGTGACATAGTACAAGAAGGGCAAGGATTCTCTGTATGCCCAGGGAAAGCAGCATTATGACAGGAAGCAGAGTGGCTGTGGTGGGCAGACTAAGCCGATTTTCCAGAAAAAGTCTAAAACTACCAAGAAGATTTTGCTAAAGCTTGAGTGTGTTGAGCCCAGTGAAGATCTAAAAGAGTCCTGGCTATTAAAAGATGCCAGCATTTTGAATTGGGAGGAGATAAGAAGAGAAGATCCAGTTCTAAGTGTCCTCTTTTGTTTTATTATGAAGACAATAAAATATTGAGTTTATGTTCACTTCAAAAATAAATAAATAAAAGTAATGTCTTACTGTTGGCCTAATCCCTATTGTTAGACCAAAGCTCAGAAAGGCAGAGTCATTGACATGACCAGCCCTCTAACCAGGAAGCACACTTAAAAAAGAGAAAGTGATTGTTTATGATTCCAGTCTTCTCTTTTTATTTCATTCCTAGTACCAAGTTCACTATTTTAGAAAATGGAAAATGTACCACATTTTTATTGAGAATAATATTTATAGCATAAAGGGATTCAAATGCACTTACAAGACAGTAGGAACCAGGCACCTACTTTATTAGTAGATTGCCAAATGGATTTGGATGTGTGACTATGTGATGTAAAATTTCTCATACATTTATATTAGTAAGCCATTGTTATTTGTAAGCATGACAATAATCACTTTATTAAATATATAGTATTATTAAGCAGGGTTCTACCTGTATTTTATATAAAATACCAATGAGTTTAGAAAGACAACTATGAAAACATATTTATACTAATTTATGTACTGATGTGTATTTGGTTCTTTTGTTTATAAAAAATCTTTAAACTGTGGACTTTTCATTTGGTTCTGGTTTGAGTTTGTGTCCTGTCACATAGATGGTAGATTACGTACATGGTAGAAAAGTTCATTTTAGAAATCTGAAAATCAGGCCAGATTATAGGTAGCTCACGCCTGTAATCCCAGCACTTTGGGAGGTTGAGGAGGGCAGATCACGAGGTCAGGAGATCAAGATCATCCTGGCCAACATGGCGAAACCCCATCTCTACTAAAAATACAAAAATTAGCTGGGCGTGGTGGTGCACAGCTGTAATCCCAGCTCCTTGGGAGGCTGAGACAGGAGAATCGCTTGAACCCCGGAGGCAGAGGTTGTAGTGGAGCCAAGATCGCACCACAGCACTCCAGCCTGGCAACAGAGCGAGACTCGGTCTAAAAAAAAAACAGAAAGAAATCTACATTGGGGAAGAGAAGGAGTATGGATCTTTGTAGACTTAACATGAGGGAGATGTTGTGCAGTTTCTCACTTCGACTATATCCATTTCTCTGTGCCATTTGCCTTTTGGACGCACATTGGCTGCATCATTGCAGAGTTCATTTTCATTACCTTTGTGTTAAATTTCCATGACATGTTCTACCCTTTGGCTCTCCTGTGGAATGACTGTTGCAGAATTTTGCTTTTGTAAGAGCTGCTACATGAGAAATGGTCTTGGAAATGTTGTCTGTAGGCATGTGTTTCTCTTTCCCTTACTTCATGAATTAAGTTTTATTTGGTTTGTAAATCATTCTTCTCAATTTTTTTTTCTTTTTTTTTTTTTTTGCATTTCAGAGCCACTCAGTACACATGCATGTTGCTTAGATATTTGTTAGAGCCTAAAGCTGGCAAAGAGAAGGTGGTAATGAAGCTCAAGAAACTGGAGTCCAGTGTGAGCACTGGTCGTAAATGTAAGTACCCTGTTTCTTGAGGGACAGTGGCTCCTGGTTTAGAATCCTCAGCCTCAGATCCTGTAATTCATGGAGTAATTTCTAGGTCATTAATTTCTAGTCAATCAAGTTTATTGATGAAATTGACCAGTGAGACTGTCCTCATGGTACAACAGGTTTGAATGTGTTGCTGCAGACCATTCATAAACACCCTGTTATGTTCACATCTGGTGCTACACCTTGTCTTTCTGCTTAATCATAACCAGTG